TAAGAATAATTTTTTGACTTTTATTAATTCTAATAATTTCTTTCCCCCAAAAAAGAATACATTTTCTAGACATTTCCTAAATGAAAATGAAAATTTCTAATCTGCCCCTCTATTTCATTAACTCGCTAAGATTACATTGGAATTTTCATAAAATAACCGATCAAGAATGAATGTGTTGATATATTCTTTATAATTGTATTATTATAATTATTATTAGAATAATTATATTCTATAATATATTCCATAATGATAAAATATAATATATAGAATAATTGAAATAAATATAATACATAGAATAATTAGAATTATTAGTTAAATATAATTATTATTAGAATAATTATAATTTTTTTTTTTGGCTACAATTTTTATTTCAATTCGAATAATAATTTCTTCTTACAATTTGTTTACCAATCGTTCTCCGAACAGACGCAAAGTTTTTAATCTGCCTCTGGATTTTGCTAATTCCTTGCAAAATGACTCGCTATTGTCACTGAAACGTAACGCGTCGAACAGTTGTATGTACAATTCGCGGAAGTTTCACTCGCGGCAATGCAATTTGCGAGCACCCAGTACATTGAACAAACAGCGGACCACGTATCCAGGTTCTGACCTAGTGACACGATCCAGTGACGTCACGGGAACCAACGGGAGAGTTTAGGAAGGATCGAAAAGACTATAGTCGACCGGAGGTTGACCCGTTCTTAGCCGAGCAGATCGTTTCCCGTGTACCGAGCCGATGTATCGAAGTTTTGTCGTGCCTTGTCGACAAGCGTTCCAAGGCGATATCCGTTCGACCGAGGGAAAGGATGAGAAAAGAGAGAGAGAGAGAGAGAGAGAAAAAAGAAAAAGAAAAAAATCGATGAAGTTTACATTGTATCGAAACCATTGTAAAGTAATATGCTGCTCGCTAATAATTTGCGGGTATAGAATTGCGTACGATCTGTATCGTGTTCCTTTTTGCGCTTTTTACTGGTGTCGATTTTAGTGTAGCGTATCATGTTTTGCGGTGTAACGTGCTGGAAACGAAACGTTCGCAGACCGACGAGTAAAAATCGGTCTTGTAACGCAAATATTCGGTTACTACTTCATTCCTGTTCGGGAGAATAAATGCTTCTGCTTCTCGTGAAACATCGAGTATTGCAAATCGCGTTTTTTTGTCATAACCATTATTATTTAATAATAAGTAATTTTCACATAATGAAGTGGGTTTATCTAGAACTTTGGAACATGTTAAAATTAAAAATAAAAGGTAGTGACTTTTTTAAGTAAATATATGATACCTAATTAATTATATTTAAAGGTGAAACTTATATTTACAACATTCATTTATATTTATATTTACATACTCGGTAGGAAATTGTTCAGCCAAAAGAAAACTTTCGAACGACTATACAATTAATTTTTGACATGTTTGAAGTTATCGTTGAAACTCGCATGAAAATTACGAGTAAAAGGGAATATCAAAAAAGCATCGATTCGTTTAAAAAACGAAAAAAAAAGAACCTAACTGACCAAAACCACGCTGCATGTCGTGTCACCGCCTATAAAAGGCAAGAGAACGCTGCTCGAACGAAAAATAAAAAAAAAAAAAAAGAAAGAGAAAGAAAAACCCGGTTGCTCGTCCGAAGCGCGAAACAAAGTCCGATAACGCTTTGCTCCAGAATGATTCGAGTTTCGACGAGCGACAAATTTTCTTTAGAACTGCGGCACGCCGCACGGTCGATCGATTCGGCCGTTTGCCGATGATGATATCGCCGTAGCTCGATGGGCCGTTCGGTCGCCGGAAGCGCATCGCGCTACCATTCTGAGCACGATTTCGCCTCGAGGATCGATCGATAACTCGATCCGGGAGATCGACGAACGTCAGTCGGGTCAGCCGCGAACCGCTCCATCCTTTGTCTAAATTTCCTTTCCTCCGGGCACCGTTCGTCTGTCATTTGACCCAACATTTTTTCTTTTTTTTTTTTTTTTTTTTTAACCTGTCACTTTCTGATAATCTTTCCTCTTTCCTCTTTCCTCGCCCCGAAAGACTGAGCCACGCGCGCGAAAATCGCGACGCTGCCGCGTGTGTCCGGGTGCTCGTTCGCATTGATCGTTGTCCAGGGAAATTCACCGGTCGAGGGATATGAAAATTCGTCGGTCGGCTGCCGGACGTGTCTCCATCTGCGAGAGTGAACGTGACGTGTCCCGCGAGCTGCTGCTTGGTTAGAAAACGCACCACGAAGATCCCCAGCTGGATCTGTCGCCGCGCGATTTCACCGCCACGAGGACCACGGCCGTGCACGACATCCACTGCGTCGGCAGTGGACAAGAGATTCCGCGGTGGAGATCCAGAAGGGAGACCAGGTGGAAAGTTTGGACTGAGTCGAGACACGTCAAGGAGGTATACGTTTTTTTTTATCTTTCGGATCTTGCTTTGTATCTTCCAGTCAGCTAGAACGGATTTCTCGGATGTTTGGGTAATTTCGGCTCGTAAATTGGATCGTGAGAGTTTATCTCTGTGGATGCATCGTTATTTACACGATGGTGAACCACGTGTTCTTTGAATAGAGATTTCTCATATGTATGCAGTCAGTTAGTACTTTTAATTATTATTGAAGAAATGGTTACAGTTTCTAACATGATGGCGACCACATGCTCTTTAAATAGAGATTTCTTATATGTGTATAGTGATGTGTATGGTTTCTCATATGTATGTAATATACCTTTGATTGTGTATTAAGAATTGGTTACGATTTTTAACATGATCGTGAACGACATGCTCTTTGAATAGAGATTTCTATACGTACTTTTCGATAGCGTACTTTTGATTGTGTATTAAGAAATTACAATTTAAGGTGCAGACAATTACAATTTAAAAAGTTGAATGATTCCATCATGTTTTTGGTTGATTAATTAGACAAAGTTTAAGAGTATATTTTATAAACTTTTCTTGTCTCCTTCTCTCGTTACAAGTAATATATAATATTTCTGCTTTATTTCTTTATAGTATTATAACATTTATTATATGAGTAAAGTTTTATTCATAGTATCTCTTGTTATTCGACTTTCTCCAGAGTTCAAGGATAATGGTTGTTCAACAGTTCAATGAGAGTTTGATACTCATACATAGTCTAACGTTTTTCTGGCGTCTTTGACGTTACGAAAAATTCCGAATTTTTTGCAGAAAGATTTGCAGAGTTATATAAAACATGTATGAAAATCATGTTTTATGTGAAAGAAGACTTTGTCATTAGGTATTTAATTGAAAATCTCGAAAAGGTTGATATAAGATTATAATTAAATCAACTCGTTAATAAAAGATTTCATTCATATCATAGCAAATAGAATTGTAATTAATTTATGAAGACCATTTATAAACCTTATCGATTGGCTTTTGATTCATCCTTCCAATTGAAATAGATACCTACTTATCATTTGTTCGTTACATCTTAATTTGTACGTTTTATTATTATCCTTTTGCCATTATCAGTTTCCAAAGCTAACAGGGCGTACGAGCACTGTAGTACACTTGAAAAATTTTCCAAAGTTCAAACAGCTGTGCAAAATAAAGATTAACGATGAACGAACGTAACGAGGTGAAAGTACACCCGAAGGGAATCAAGAAGAGCCAAAATTTGTGCGTCACTCGTTTCCTAGGGAACGTGAAAGTCATACCCCTGGGTAGAAAGTTTCGAAATGAAGATGAAAAAAAAGAGCGAAAACGCTCGAGCTACCAAGGCACATCCGTGACACAGTTTTACAGCTTTGATCGAGCACTGGCCTTGGTTCGAAATATTTAAGCGGATACGTAGTAAAGTTACTTTATGGACGTGCATGTCACTATCAGGAATACGATGAAAGCAAGGGTTTGTTCATAGAAAAAAAAAAAAAAAAAAAAAAAAAAAAAACCAC